ACGTATCAGACAGTAGCTAGACCAGATGGAATCAATGACCAACAACATGACGACAACTTCAGACACAGACGATGGTCTGGTTACAGATGAGCAGTACTTGTTGTATGAAGGGCTACTGAGTTCAACACGAGCGCTGATTGCCGCCCTTGGTTGTATGGGGAACGTTATCAACATCTACATATTTCTGAAACTGGGATTCAACGAAGGCATGAACTTGTCTTTAACTTTACTCTCGTGTTTTGACCTCTTGTATTTAGTAACGGTCATCTCTAGGTCGGTGTCCTTTGCGTTTTTTGCTTACGAGCGGACCCACCGTTGGGCTATGTGGTTTCCTGCTGTGTCCAATATCTGTGGGAATGCTGGACGAATACCACAAGTTTCCTCTAACCTGATGACGACCTTCGTAGCCTTGGCCAGGTGCGCCAGTGTGGCCAAACCGCTACATTTTAAACAAACATTTGGGCAACAACTCACTGTAATATGGGCGATAATGAGTGTAGTATTTGCATTACTGTGTTACCTCCCTGTGCAGGTTTTTATGGGAATTATCCCACAATTCGACAAGGACGTGAACTCGACAAGACTAGCGCTGTGGATTTCTCCACAAAGGAAACAGGTCAGAGATGTAGTGGGAGTCGTTCGTGATGCTTTCCTTCCGCTTTCCACTCAAATCTTAATCGTAGTCTGTGTAGTTTTAATGACAAGACGCCTAAAAGCATCTATAAAGTTCAGAGCTTTTCATTCAAATTACAGTATAACGTATGGGATCGTCAACGAAATATCTAAAAATAGTGGTACAACCACCGTTACAAAATCAAACGGAAGCTCAACTACAAAAGCAGGTAAAGAACTACGGGTGATTCAGCAGGTGGTGCTGATCTGTGTGGTGTACATCAATTGCAACACGCCCACCATTTTCATCAACTTCACAGGTCTGTTTGTGCCCGAGTTCTCTATAGACAATACGTTTCGAAATTTGTATCTGCTAATGACGGGGGTCAAGTACTTTTTTCAAACCATCAACGCCAGCATCAACATACTTGTATACCACCGCTACAACAGCAGATACAGGCGTAGATTTCGTGTATGTAGACACCGTGTCTGAGTAATAGAACTTAATTATTTTGCTCTCCTGCGCTCTAGGAGACGACCACGACGCCTTACGAACGTGACCCACACACCTTACTACATGAATGCCATGTCGTGTTTAGCGATGCTGTACAATATTTCTTTTACTTCTCATTATGTTCTTCTTAATTGTTTTGACAAAATTGTAATATTTTTAACTTTGAATAAAGCATACACCTTAATGAAGATAAATACAAATTATTCAACACTTGCTGAGCTGTGTGTAGTAATGATGTATCACACTATCTAAAAAATATTTCTTGCAATAATTTTGCTGGAGCAAAATTTTGTTAGTAAATTGTTTGTGAATGAAACCACGGCTTTTATAGTGCAGAAGTTATAAAAATGAAGGCATGTATTTATATTGTTGAGAATACGTGGTGGTTTTCTTGTATGTACCAACAAATGTATTTTTTTCACACTGTTATTAATCATTTTGGGTTGGAGTGTGAGTCCAATACATGTACTTGGTAACGTCGCAAGGGATTATTGTTTGACACTAATGAGCGCTTCTCGTGTAGTATTGTGTAATTCCTAGCTACATGTATAATGGGTCTAATAATGGGTATCATATCGTGTATTTTTTTATTGTATGACTAACTGTACTCTACCTGCCAACTTGAAGGACAGTTCACAGTGAATTTGTACATATACATTTATCACAATTGCTTAGCACCTGTTTCTTTCTCGAGCACCTTGTGCAGCACCCTGATAGCTAGAAACTGCCTACAATTTTACCCACACGTCAAAGCAAGAATTTCAGATCGTATTTTGTGATTATTACAAGAATATTCAACTGAGTCTTGCTTTACTTTAGGGATATTGTAAAGGGTAACGTGCACGCCTAAGGGAGGTAATATAGTATAATCTTCTATACGACAACAAAAATATACAAAACAGTTGTCAAGTGCTAACAGCGTATACTCTCTGACAAGGATATTGTTTTTTTTTAAATAAACACACTTTTTACTTCCTCGTATAGTAAAGTACTGTAATCGTGAACAAAAATCGAAATTGAGGTTTTCACAAATCTCAACGTTAAGTATCTCGATGGGCTGCAATTCTGTCCGTACGACTCTTTCTATCTATCTCTATCTCTCGCTCTCTCTCTTTCTCTCTCTATTTCTGTGTGTATGTGTTTGTGTTTGCATGTGTGTACGCTTATGTGTTTGGTTTAAACTAACTAAATATATAAAAATAGAAAATAGTATCAAGTACTTGAGTCTAGTGGCTTATTGGTTAGTGCAATACGTCTGCATTTTTACTTTCTAGTATACGAAGTATAGAGGAAGTATTGTAATCGTGCAAAAAAAATAAACCGGGAGTGATCTCCCCTAAACTTTCTCGAATATTCTTATATAACACTAGGGTCGATGGCAACTCGGGATAAAGACATTATTTTTAATCCATTTTTAATTACTTAAACTTTTTAAAATAGAATAGAATCTCGTAGAAATAAGAATTACGCACCAAGTGAACGCCAAACAATATGTTTATAATAGTGTAGAATATTATTAGTACTTTATAAATTCACATGCGGTTTTTTGATAAATCGGAGAAAGCGTAAATTACTGCTTCCGGTCAACGGAAATTACTCTACACATACTACACATATATCAACAGTGTCAAGTGTAACAACACCCAAAGGTAGCATAAACGTTGTGTGCTTATTAATTTATTACTACTTATTAACTGTACCACTGTTTTAGATTTAAACAACAATTCATAATTTTTAAAAATTAAATCAATAAAGAAACAAGTATCAATGTATAGATCAATGTATAGATTTATTGGCACGAATTAGTCAGCCAATGTGCCAATATCTCCGCCCATCAGCTGGCCAATGTCCGAAATGTTTTCTTATATGAGATAATGGCCGGCCATTTTGCGGACTGGACATGGTCGATAGGCTTGTTTACTACCATTGGCCGGCCAGTCCTAGCACTGGCTATATGAGTGACCGGCCAAAGTCCGAAATTGTCCTGATTTATTATTTTGGAATTTAAATACCGCAATGATTTTGAAATCACGGCATTAATAATATTAATTAAAGTAAATAACAGAAACACTAAAATTATTTTATTTCACTATATTTTCAATCCATGTTGTCACTTGTGACAACCGAACACATACACACACACACACACTCACTCACACACATACACTCACGTACCTCACATTCACACAAATTGCTACACTTACACTCACACAAATAAACATACATACACATTGCCACACAGACACTCGTACACACACTTATAAACCCACAAACATAAACAAACACTAACACTGCTTTATTCACTACGACGGACTAATACTTCCACACCCTAGCACAACATGACGAAGCCTGTTCTAATCGAATTCCCCCAGCATGCAGACCCTACTCTCGGGCGTCACATCCTTACGTACCTCAAAGCACAGTCACATTCTTTTATGACTATAAATATTATGAAATCATTCTACAACATATACGCTCATACTTTTGCAATACACTGAGATACCATCTCAGGACAAATAATCTCATGACAAATCATCACGACAATTACAAGTCGATCACTATTGGGCCGCGATATAGAAATAAAAACGAATGTTCGTACCAGCACAAATATACACAATCAACGCGCTAGGTGGCGTTGACACGATTCGTGTCAACCACGCAGAATATTTTCTAAAACCCAAGTCTTACGGCAGGCGTCGTCGAAATAAGTAAAATAAATCATATAAAACGTTTTCTTATTACACGACTATGCTTTTACTATGAAATGATATCCTCTTGAACTGACATCTACAATTGAACATCTTACAACCTTTATTTGAAAATGAAATAATATAGTTTATGTGAGAAATGAATAATAATTTTTTTAAATTACAAAAATCGTAAAACTATATCAGCTAGTAATACATATATATTTATGTTAGATAGTTGTACATTATTGCAGTTTTGTATGGCATTAATTTAAAAACCCACCAACAACATTAAAAAGAGTCGTAATCATATATTCATTAATATAATTTTAAAGAGCTCATCTAAATCTTACCGTTTCTAAGATTTAGATTTTTTTAAAAATTATGTCTTTGTTCTAAGGAATGAGACATAAACTAAAAAAGTTGTTGACAAATCTTGTTTTGACAAATCACGTATGGACTACTGAAAATGTCTAATGTCAATAGTGTGAACTCGAAATATCGTCGTGTCATGTTTGATTATGAAATTTCTACTCAGGTTTTACTTTATTCGATCTATTATTTTTATAAAAATGTATACTTTCATTAGATTTAAGTTACGCTTCCGTACACCAGAACTTGAATGAACTACGGCGTTTAAAGCACATAATTGTTAGTCGATGTGTCGACCCAAACAAATATGGCGTGTTATTTAAACGGTGATTCCCTTACTAGTGTAACCAGCCCTAATTTCAGATCAAACATTTCTACGAGACTTTCATGTTTCATCTAAATATTTGGAATTGGTTTTCTATAATTAGTTATCATAACACGAAGTATGTAATCAATAACCTTTAATCTCGTTTTAAATAACATTGCTTTTATTTGAATAACGATAGGTTTCTAATCCTTTTAAACAAAATTGAAATATTTAGAACTTTTAATATCAAAATAATGAACACAAAAATTTAAACATTTGATTCTATAATATCAAAATTTAGTTATAAAATCATATTATATAAAGTTCTAAATAGTTATTAAAAGTGGAAATATTTAAAAGACTGCATTTGACACTAATTTCGAAAAATATAGTTTAGTTAAAATAAACAGTTGTTCATGCATTAGTATTAATAATAACAGTTCATACTGTTCATTGCTTGCAACGTATCAGACAGTAGCTAGACCAGATGGAATCAATGACCAACAACATGACGACAACTTCAGACACAGACGATGGTCTGGTTACAGATGAGCAGTACTTGTTGTATGAAGGGCTACTGAGTTCAACACGAGCGCTGATTGCCGCCCTTGGTTGTATGGGGAACGTTATCAACATCTACATATTTATGAAGCTGGGATTTAACGAAGGCATGAACTTGTCTTTAACTTTACTCTCGTGTTTTGACCTCTTGTATTTAGTAACGGTCATCTCCAGGTCGGTGTCCTTCGTGTTTTTTGCTTACGAGCGGACACATCGTTGGACTATGTGGTTTCCTGTCCAGCCCTATGCTGTGGTGATTTTCTGTGGGAATGCTGGAAGAATCCCACACGCCTTCTCCAACCTGATGACGACCTTCGTGGCATTGGCCAGGTGCGCCAGTGTGGCCAAACCGCTACAGTTTAAACAAACATTCAGCCAACAACTCACTGTAATATGGGCGATAATTTTTGTAGTATTTGCAGTAGTGAGTTTCATCCCTGTGCAGGTTTTTATGGGAATCATCCCACAATTCGACAAGGACGTGAACTTGACAAGACCAGCGCTGTGGATTTCACCACAAAGAAAACAGGTCAGAGATGCAATGGGTGTGATACGTGACGCTTTCATTCCGCTTTCCACCCAACTCTTAATCTTAGTCTGCCTAATTTTAATGACAAGACGCCTAAAGGCATCTATAAAGTTCAGATCTTTTCATTCATATAATGATATCACCACCGTTACAAAATCTAAAGGAAGCTCGCCTACAAAACCTGGTAAAGAACTACAGGTGATTCAACAGGTGGCGCTGATCTGTATGGTGTACATCACCTGCAACACGCCCACCATCCTCATCAACTTCACTGGTCTGTTTGTGCCCGAGTTCTCTATAGACAATACGTTCCGCAACATGTATCTGCTAATGACGGGGATCAAGTACTTTTTTCAAACCATCAACGCCAGCATCAACATACTTGTGTACCACCGCTACAACAGCAGATACAGGCGTAGATTTCCTGTTTGTAGACACCGTGACTGAGTAAAAGAAAATTTGTCAAACGCGTGCGAGTCAGTGTCATTTGGTTTGGATACAGATACAGATACAGATACAGATACAGATACAGATACAGATACAGATACAGATACAGATACAGATACAGATACAGATACAGATACAGATACAGATACAGATACAGATACAGATACAGATACAGATACAGATACAGATACAGATACAGATACAGATTCAGATACAGATACAGATACAGATACAGATACAGATACAGATACAGATACAGATACAGATACAGATACAGATACAGATACAGATACAGATACAGATACAGATACAGATACAGATACAGATACAGATACAGATACAGATACAGATACAGATACAGATACAGATACAGATACAGATACAGATACAGATACAGATACAGATACAGATACAGATACAGATACAGATACAGATACAGATACAGATACAGATACAGATACAGATACAGATACAGATACAGATACAGATACAGATACAGATACAGATTCAGATACAGATACAGATACAGATACAGATACAGATACAGATACAGATACAGATACAGATACAGATACAGATACAGATACAGATACAGATACAGATACAGATACAGATACAGATACAGATACAGATACAGATACAGATACAGATACAGATACAGATACAGATACAGATACAGATACAGATACAGATACAGATACAGATACAGATACAGATACAGATACAGATACAGATACAGATACAGATACAGATACAGATACAGATACAGATACAGATACAGATACAGATACAGATACAGATACAGATACAGATACAGATACAGATACAGATACAGATACAGATACAGATACAGATACAGATACAGATACAGATACAGATACAGATACAGATACAGATACAGATACAGATACAGATACAGATACAGATACAGATACAGAACCCAGAGTTGGATGCTAGAAAACACTAGCCTGATATAATCTGTAATAACGATATCTGACTGTGGACATCATCAAACTAAACAACAGGTACTTATAAGGCTCCAACAGAGCCAGATGAAAACCGGTCGGCACAGAGGTGCACGCGAAGGGAACTAATGTGTTGCTAAAGAGGAGGACACAGGATCAAGAGTTGCATTATTGGCGCACTGTGCTCTGGGTGTGGTCGGCAAATCTAAGAAGAAGAGTATTTAGTTTATAAACATGTATGTCTTGCAAATTTATATGGTGCTAACTGGATGTCCAGGATATTACACCTAAAAAAAATAAGTGTGTGGTGTTGTGGATTTTGAATTATTTATGCTAATTGCTTTTGTAGACACACAAAGCAAAGTATAAAATACTTTTAAAAGTAAATAGAAGAAACAGATTGTGTAGATAACTATCGTGTTTAATTAAAAAAAAATACATCTTGTACCACCATTTAGAATGTGTATGTTAGTATATTTAGTCAGGTGTGTTGGAGTGCATCAGTGGTAGGGAGAAAACCTGTAGTTCGACGCTTGGTATTCGAACTCGGTTTGATGGGGTTTGCTCTCCTGCGCTCTAGCAGACGACCACGATGCCTCACGAACGTGACCCACATACTTTACTACATGAATGATATGTCGTGTTTAACTATGCTGTACAAGATTCCTTTTACTTCTCATAATGTTATTCTTAATCCTCTTGTCGAAATTGTAAAGGTCACTTAATATGGATTTGATAATAAATTTAGATTGATATTTTGTAAGTGTTAAGTGTGTTTTAAAATATGCTTGGTTTAGTATTTGAGTTAAACAAAACAGGAATGTAATATGTGTCCATTTTATCGGTTGGTGTATTTGTCCAATCGGGCCAGTGTTCATTCGGGAAAACGTCTTCAGGAAAACGGTATTCGAGCAAATGTCTTTCAGGATTTAGTCGTAGACGCGTTAGGATTAGGTAAAGTATACGCCTAGGTTTAGAAATAGGTAAATGTGTATGTATCGGAATATGTGCAAGAGTAGATGTAGGTGTAGGAGTTTATGCTAATGTCTGTGTTTGTGGTTGCGGTTGAGGGAGGATGAGGGTTTGTTTATGTTAATGATTATGCTAAAGTTTATGTTTATTTGTGTGTGTTTGTGTTTATGTTTTGAGGTTGTAGTGAGGGTTAGGTTTTATGTTTGTTTGTGTGTTTAATTTTGTGTTTATGTTTGTGCGTATGATTGTTTTTTTTAAACGTAGTAGTGCGATGAGGGGAGAAGGTTTATGTCTATGTTCAAATTATGTTTGTGTTTGTGGTATGTTGTAGTTAGGGTTATGTTTGGAGTTAGGTTTAGGGTTATATATATTTTCTCTGTTTGCATGTATAAATAAATAGGAAATTTAATATATTCCCGAAACCCAGGCTGTTCCAGGTATATGATGCTGAATAAACACACTCGTTGTGGTTCTTTACAGATAGATTTTTTCACAAAGGCAAGAGCAGGAGCCTAGCCGGGAGGGCTAATTGTTTTATAAATAAAAACGGCCTTGGACAAGTGGCTTTATGGCATTTTTCACATTCGGGTAAGTGTTAATTTGGGCGCTTGTCGCATTCGGGCGTCTTTCTGGAAAACGTCCGTCTCCCATTAACTATTATATAACAGTTAACGCAAATTTTGTTTTACATAAGGGTTTGAAATACTTAAATGGGACAAACAGGAAAAAAAAAATGAATACCAACTGTTGATTTATTGTTTAAAATTACAATTTGTTACTACTAACTTCGTTTAGAAGGTTTGCGATTGTTTCGATTTTTTAAAATTTCAAGTGTGTGATTAAAGTGAAGTGAGTTTTCACTAGTAGTCATGAAAATAAAACCGACACACATGGACAACTGTATGTATAATAATGTCGAGTGATTCGATACCTCTTAATTCTCACTAAATACGTTCAACTCTCCGGTGCTTCAGTTTGATTTTTACAGCTAGTGTGTACACTACTTGTGTTTGTAAAAGCATTATTATTCAAATAAACAGTTGTACAATATTCGAAAATGTTTAACTATAAAATTAATTTGGTTACTTTATGTTTATAGTTTTCCATAAAAAACTAATAAAATGTGTTCTTTTTGGCATACAAAATGGATTTCTATATGTTATTGTACATTTTTTGTATTTATATTGGTGATATCAGGTAAATTATAAATTATTAATTAAATATTTATTTTAAAATGTAGCTTAGATACACGAATTAATTTAAACAATAAATAACTAAAGATATGTTTATGAATATGTGTGCCTTTTTTTAAAGTTATGTAATTGGTTTACGTTATTTGGAAGTAGTTAATGTCTATAGAGAAGAATCATTTATCTCATCAACCACAACAGACTATTATTGTTTAATTGTTTTTTGTTCCGTTTAGGTAAATTTGCTAGCGGGTTCAACTATAAAGTTAATTTAAACGACGCAACCACTAATTTTCGTTTACAAGTAAACAGCTCTAGCAAAGAATGTGGGGAGGACAGGAAAACTGGAATGGTTATTTACAAAGTTGATATGTTTTATGAGGTATAAACACTTTTTAAAATATATTATCAATTACACATGTTTATTACTGCATAATTTACACAGAAGAACTTTAAAAGCAAACTATACTATAAGGCTCACCAAAATTATATAATCCATATCTACACATAAATATGTGTGACGGCGTGGCCTAGCAGCATAGCGCTAGACTACTAAACATAAAGTCTCTAGTTTAATCCGAGTTTAAGTCAGTAGATCGTCCATAAGTCTACCCAGCTCTGATGAGTACGTAACTCACGTTGGGGAAAGCAAAGGCGGCTTTAACTACGCTCAAATCAGCAACTTAATTAAAAAATTAACTTACACAGCACCTGCCATTCCTCAAAAAGCATTAGAGTCAATTCATCCAGAAAACGCGTTGTTACCTAGTTCAGAATTTTCTCAATATTAAAACGAATACCAAGTTTTAATAGAAAATTACACTATGAAAATTGAATGTTATCAGGACTAGTGTCATTTAGTTTCCTTTGCTTCGTAAATCAAAGCAACGAGCGTCGGGTACTCAAGTGTTTTGTGATATTTATACAACTGATAGTTAATTAGTGTATAAAGATTTAAAAAAAATATTTCAGCGTATTTAAATTGCATAGAATATTGGCAATGAATGTTAAAATAAGAGATACTGACTTTTGATAAAGTAAGGGATTCATCGGTACGATTGAAAACCATCAGCTGAAAATATTTCAAAATTTGACATTTAATAGTTTTTTCTTTACAGATTGGTTGTAACCGTCCCTATGCTCAGTCCAACTTGTCAAGTCCAAACGATGAACGACAACTTATTTTGCACATTAAAGACAAATGCGACTATCAGAGAAATTGCAGTCTAACTAAATCAGATCTTCAGTTCAGCTCAACATGTAACGACAAATGTAGTTGTCCATTTTTGTATTATATTGCCTATTCGTGCAAACGTGTTGGTAAGTATTGGTCGGTGCAGCAAAATAATTTCTTCATACGTGAACAAATAAGTAAAGATTATATTTTGACACAACGCAAGACTTATTTTCTTTAGTTTTTTTTTATGCCATAATCTACGTATCTTGTATCAAGATTCGAACTCTCTGTTAGGCATAGTAATTAATTCTGCGATGCAGACACCTACTTAAATATTGTATAAACTACAATAATGGCTCGTACGAAACAAGATGAATTGCTTATGCGAAGTGAAATTTTTATTGTCGTTTCACCTGTATGGCAGTGCATAAATAGCACATCATTGTTAAAAAAGGTATATGTAAAATTCCAATACACACTACATTTAAGTAGTCGAATCTGGCATAAATTTGCATCGATTTAATTGATGCAGATGTGTACAACATGTTTACGTTAGACTTCTCTACTTTTGAGTAACATTTTATACCATTTCTGTAACAGCACGCGCCACTACACAAACCACACATTTATCAACAGTGACAAGTGTAAAAATGCCCAAAGGTAGTATAAATGTGTTGTAATTATTGATATATTGCTACTTATTAATTTTCCACTTTATTAGATTTGAACAACTATTCATGCTTTTAATTATTAAAATATTAAATAAACAAGTATCAATGTAGAAATATATTGGCAAGCACTTGGCTTCCAAACCTCCTATCGTCTTAAGTCCGAAATCTTTCTTTGTTTGGGATATTGACCGGCTATATCGCGGGCTGGCCATGGTCGACCGGTCTAAGTCAGAAATGGTGCTTGATTTCGGCCATTGACCCGCCAGTCAGCGAACTGGCTAGGGGAAACCGGCCCAAGTTCAAATTTAAGGATCATATGGTTAGGGGTGTCTGAATTCGAAGATCTTGGGCAGATTTTGTGTATTTGTAAACGGTTATGAAATTAGATCTTTATTGATTATAAACAGATACTAAAATACACACACACACGTATACACACATGTATAGACACACTCACGCACACACTTAAGACACTCTAACTCATAAACATACTCTCACACACTATCAAACATACTCGCACACACACTCTCTCACGCACACTCATACAGACTCATATCTCACCTTCACATACATTTCTATACGAACACTCACACAAATAAAATATATACAAATAGTCACACACACACTCATGCACACTTATACACCCACACTCATACACACACTCACACACACAAACACACTCTATCTCACATACTCTATCACATACACATTCACATTCAAACATACTGACACTAACACATTCATAAACACACACATTTGGACCCTATTGTTCATCTTATAATCGTCCCATCGTCCCATCCAACGCGGGACAATGTCTTTTGAAAATTCCAACGTGTTGCATATAGACATTGACGCCGATTGTCTTAGCTTTTGTTATTTGGTGATTGTCTCTACCACATAAAGTAGTAATACACATTTTGCTGTTTTTGTCAGCACACTGTCATCTACATCGGATATTTGCCAACGCATTCCAACCAGTGCGCGCAATGGCCGACAAATGTACAAAATACACTGTGTAAAAGCTTATTTCAAAGAGAGCCGGCCGATACACGTGCACTAGCCGCACTTCGGACTTTAAACGTATATATATATATATATATATATATATATATATATATATATATATATATATATATATATATATATATATATATATATATATATATATATATATTTATATATATATATATATATATATATATATATATATATATATATATATATATATATATATATATATATATATATATACATATATATAAAATAAAATTATGATGTTTTTTTATATTCGTTTTACAATTAGTGCTAATACAACAGATAAGCTAATTGTGGAAGAAATATTTGCTTAGCCAAACATTTAAAAAACAACAATATTACTCGTGTTTAAATATATCTTTTCAAAATAAAATGTAAATATAGAAGCATTAATATTTATTTACAGTGTAAGTCAATATTGTTGCAGTATGATTTAATTAGTAATGGCAATTAAGTAACATTAACCACACTTTTAGCACACACAAAACAAAGATTAAGACCCGTCAACGATAAACTGTTTAGACTAAGTCAGATTTATATTGACGTAGCACATGTCTTAAGATGTATAAATAGTACACCATTGTTTAACAAGAAATATGTAAAAATTACAATACACACAATACTTTAGTTGAATCTAATACAAAATTACTATTTACTTCATGCCTATGAGCACTATACTTGTAAGTTTGACTTCACTATTTTGAGAAACATTTTAATCTATCCTGTGTAGATTAAAATAATTAAGATCCTAAAAAATATATTTAATACTTTTTTCAGTAACAGAGCGCGATACTACACATACTACACATTTATCTACAGTGACAAGTGTAACAACGCCCGAAGGTAGTGTAAATGTTTGTCCCTCTTAATATATTACTACTTATTAATTGAACCGTTAAATTTAAAAATTAAATTTAAAAAATAAACAAGTAGGCTATCAATATAGAAATAACTTGGCACGAATTAACCTTATGTCTCCTCAGTTACTGTTACGTCCCTTATATTCTGTTTATTATGGCTACTTCCCTTGAGTGTTCATTGTGGCTTCCGTCATGTGTAGTCGATTGTTTACATAAAGTCAGTAAATGGAAGGTAGAGTCAGAGACAGGACTTGTCGTCTGAGCTCGTGTATATAAGAATAAAGTACTCGAGTTAACTCAAAGAACTGTGTCTAAGTAATGCAACACCTGTTAATGTGCACATTGACAAATATAACATCTCATCGTCCCTACAAATTCCGAAGTTTTTCTTGATTTTGGGATATTGGCCGGCCATTCCGCGGACTGGCCATGGTTGACCGTCTAGTCTGAAAGTTTTTTATTACGTCCATTTGCCGGCCAGTCCTAGCTAATTTAAGTAAATAGCAGAAACATTCAAGTTACTTTATTGTAATGTACAACTAGATGAACTTTTAATTTGGTTCTAACATGTTAGCATGTGTGCTAACCTTCTCAGCATATATAAAATACACTTTTTAAAAAATCCAGCATAGTCCCATTTATACTACCTCACACTTCCAAAACTCATACATATACTCATGCACATATTCACCACATCGTCATAAACAGACATACAATCATAGAAACACTCAAATGCATATACTCATACACACTCAAAAACAAACAACCCATACGCACACACACAATCATATACAAACACTCGTATACGCGCTGTACACTCACACACTTATACATACAAATACTCACATTTATACGCACTCTCGTATATACTCATACCTCACATTCACACACATTACTGCACTTACACTCACAGAAATAAACATACATACACACTGCCACACAAACACACACACATACACGCCCATACATTCACACTCATACAAAAAACGCAGATAATTTGCTCTACATAGTTAGTACAAATTCTAATCCGTAGACACTAATTTTACACTTTTTACAATTGTTACAGTTTATAGAACTATTACTAGTGTTTGTAAACAAACCTATTGGTCTACAAGCATGGAAAGTACATGGGAAAAACATAATAGTTTATCTTATTTATTGATATTTTTAAAATTCCTGTCTATACAAAACTATGTCGCATAATTGAAAAAGTCGATGCACATTTGGTAATTTTTTACTTGACTAACATCTTTTTATCTGTTAATTCGTTGCTACGTGTTTTACATATGCTGTTCACTACAAATTATTAACCTGTTAGTTCGAATTTCCATAACATTTAAATACCTTTATTATACCACAAGACTCTAATTATACTAAACTATTCAACAAAATTACCCAAATACATCAAGATGAATTGTTAACTAATTTTTGAGAAACAACCTTCACAATATGTTTTTAACAAATAGAGTGTATGTATAAAACAGTTAAATTAACATAAGTAGGCTAGTAAATACACTAATTAAAATTTAAATTTATTTAAAATCTGATTAAGTGCATTTATTTTATAACTTTAGTGCGGTTAGAAAACCAAGAAGCTGACCTACTAAGAGTTATAGAACAACAAAAGATCGCCTTAATCTGTGTTTCTGTCTTTGCTGCCGTATTGATTTTTATCATTGCCATCATGTGTTTCATCTTCATTTGCCGTCAGTGAGTATAGTTCTAAACTATGTTAGGCATTTTAATACTTGAGCTACTAATTTGGACGGCGTGGTCGAATAGTAGACCATACGACTACTAACCCGATAGACTCCAGTTCAAATCCTGGTTCAAGTATGTACACGTACACCTTCCTCTGATGGGTGCCTGACTCACGTTAGGTAAAGGAGGCTTTGCGAAGTGCTCGAAATACTATCCCTCCATACATTTCTCAGTATTGCGCTAGAATTAGATGAATATTTCGTGACAATTACACTTTTGCTTCCACGAACTTTAAGTAATTCATTTACAATTAATCACAAATAAACAATGCCTGACACATTATATATATATATATATATATATATATATATATATATATATATATATATATATATATATATATATATATATATATATATATATATATATATATATGATTGTAATATAATTGTGTAACTGTTGCCACATAAACTTTAGGAGAATTTGTAACACACGAGAGAACAACACCGATTGCAACTTGAATGACTACGAAGCACCCTATAACAGCCCTATTAGAACAGAAACTACCCACGAAGATGAGCATCAGTATGAGCTGACGGTCACTGGTAAATAAATTCAAGTAATTTCATATATGCGTAGATACTCATACTTTCCAGACTAGGTATTGACAGTTAATTAAATATACTGTAAATAGTATTGTGAGTTGCAAAATAATTAAACATTTATCTTCTATTTATTTGCCGAGCGAAGTGTTGTTGTAATGTAATACATTCATCTAAGATTTATATCCATATACAATATATATTCCAGGGGCATCATATCACGGAGACGTTACATCCAACTACACAGAGATAAATTAGCGAATAAGATATCAGTGAAGAAAGATTTAATAACTTTACTGTCATCTTATCTAGCAAATCAAATTTTAGTAGCAACATATTTTATATCTACAACATTCAACATAGTTTTGTTGTTAATTGAAATCAACGTGTGTATACATTGTTATATTCTTCTCCGTAACACATACATACGCACACATACTGAGCACAAATGTTGAAATCTAATAGTAATATTTCCTAGTTTAACAAACAAATAGATAGTACATATTTTTAAAATATATTTGTAACGTGTTTATCTTGGGAAAATAGGGGTTTATTACTCATATCGACTAGCTATAGTAATGCAATTTTAACATGGGATTACTGCGTATTTCCTCACCCAGCACAAGTGTTTGGTGTTAAAATTTGTCGATCAATAAATGTTTAGAGAGTAACATCATTTTGTTTTCTTAATAAATGTAGTCAACGTCTTACATGTAAATAAGTTGTAGTTATTTTGAAATTTTGAAATATTTTACACTGAAATCTGTTGTTTTTTTTGTTCGAACTGACCGAATGGGCCAATCACGTTAGTAGGACGGAAGAGTTTCTTTCAAGCATCTCTTTAGGGATGTTCTGAACCCACCCCCCCCCCCCCCCCGAACGAAATTTATACAGAAAATCTACACCAATGTCTAAACCTAACCCTAACCACATCTATAAAAAAAAATACAAACATAAACGAATACAGAGATATAAACTCCCCAATATGTCCAAAATTAACCAGATAAACACTAACGAAAACACAAACATAAACCCAAGCCCTAACACTCACCACAACTACAGACATAAACTCTCTCCTTTACCCGCACTTCTACGCCTAAAAGACAACCACAAAAACAACAAAAAAAATAACGCAAACATAAACATAAAATTACCCCCCCCCCCCCCCCACCAACGATACTAAACTAAAATATCACATTCACGCTTACCGCGTCATAAACTCATCTTTCACATCACGTTTATATAAGAAAATACGGCATCTGGTCAGATGGAACGGCCCTTTCACGGCAGACCATTGTTTGTTTGTTTTTGTTACACTCCGCTTAGCGGCATAAGGGGGCCTTTGAGCAAAATTTATTTTCGAAACATAGCTCACTTAAGCAGAATTTCACTCGCGGTAACATTTTAGCCCTTGACTAGGGCTTAGAGTCTGACCGACAGTTTTTCCCTATGGCCTATCCTTTTATTGAGGTGCATGCAAAATTTAGCGAGATGTACAGAGGGTAAGTACTTAAAATTTTCATGAAAATTACTCAGTTTTTCACATAATCAGCAATGATTCTATATGGGAATACGACTGCTCAGCTTTGAACGCTTTAGCGATTTTTCCCAGATTTGACATGTTTTTTTTTTTCTGGCATCCATGGACAGTGGTCTGCAAGCTCAAAAGATTTCAGGGAGGGGAGAGGTCGTTTGGCAATTTTTTTATATAAAGCGTATATAAGGCGCCGGTCAGTCGTGGTCACTTTGTTAGCCTTCCGAGTCTGACCGATTTTTCCCGGTTTACCGGACAGATGCGAGCGACTGCCAAATTTGATGCGCCTGCTGCGCCGGCATTTACCCGAACCGACATCCCACCACTTTGCTTTAAAAATATACATTCATTTAATTTCAACCATTAGAGAGAGAGAGATGAATATGTAGAGAAACAGTAATAGAAACTGAAACGGGAAAGAGGGAAGTAGATAACGGAGAAAAAAACAGTGTCTATAAGTATATATTATCCACTACATCCAACAGGGAAGCTATTTCACACTGGCTTTTACTATCTGTGATGAATCATTAACACACTTCCTCGAATAAACAAAACGGAAGCTTTAACGTTTTAACAACACATGTAGGCCTATCTGTTATTTTCTACTCATAAATTTTGTATTAATCTCCACTCCTGTGAAACAGGCGAACAATAGATTACAAAGATAACTGATAAACAAAAGCTTGTTGTCCACGGTTTATATGCTTCTGTCCTCTTGCTAGTAAAAGAAATTTTTTGAATTATATCAAAATAAATTTACTTTTTACATAAAGTCAGCGAGTTGAGCGCTATGTATGCTATGTAATGGTTAAAAATGACCTAAATGTGAACAGGGATATAATTGGTGTTCTAAAGAGTAACTAAAATAAAGGTTTTAATATGAAGTAGCAAATTATAAGTATTAAAATCAAAATTAGTGAATTTACTAACGCTATAAGAGTGGGGTTTAGCTTGGTGATTTCATCAAATAAGAGATTAAAATCTCCATCACTCGGGCAATGTCTCAGGTTGTCTCTTAGTATGATACACAAGAATATAAACACACAAAGACATATGATTTTAACAAATTTAATAAATGTTTACAAGCTATCTAAACCGCTCGAACTACATACTCAGTGCAATATCATAGGTATTAAACCACATGTTACTTATCTTCACGAGTTACCGTGACATAAAATCAAACCTACACGCGTACAGACACGCACATACACAAAACAGTGCGTATAAAAGATGTCAAGCAGCGCGACCATGTTTCGAACTATTTCCTTCTTGTAGTTTACCCGCTCGGTTGAGTTTGTTAAACCACACGCAAAACAGCCTTTTTGTAATAATGCTGAATACCGTTCAGCGTAATGAAATTAACTTAAATCAAAGTATTTATGCTAAAACTAATCCGATCCATACTTTTAGTATAACTTATGGGTGCTCTTTCATTTTTATCCCCACATCTAACCTAAGACAGCACAGTATAGCGACGAATCTACACACAATAACCAACTTGCACTATTAACCTACAGAGGTCACGACCTTAAAGATCCTTGTGGCGACAACTAAAAAACTGGTTTAAAGGAAAGAACAACAAATACATATTTTAAATACCAGATTAGGTCACTTCACTTGTTCCTCTGCAGAAACATAAAACACAGTAGACGCATGACCACACTCAACATAATAGTTCAAGCAACACAGCCATCCCTCTCTTTCTCTGGTATTTCAGGAAAATCTGTTTACCGCACCAAATTACAATATTTACTTAAAAACGTCGTCTCTATTTAATTAACTCCCTTATTCTGTGTCAATACAGTCTACTCCCCAATAAAAACAACAACTGGAGACAAGGAGTTATCTCCTTTTATGTTCTAATAGAAGAACCCCCTGCTTGTATTGTAGCACTTCTGGAGGTGGGATCACTTGAATACCGCCGATGTAAAAATAGAAAGAAATTCAATGTTAGTAAAATACAAAAATATGGTAATTGTCTTTATTTTGTTAAAAATGTTGAAACATATATATATATATATATATATATATATATATATATATATAGAGAGAGAGAGAGAGAGAGAGAGAGAGAGAGAGAGAGAGAGAGAGAGATATATTCTTTACATAATATATATCTCTGCATAAGTATAGATTGTAAACACCTAGCATTGAGACACCTTGTTCTAGATTTAAAGCATAAAACTTTTGTTATAATAATTGATTAATATCTGGAGGAGTTGATCTAGTTCGTCTTAACAATCTAAAATGTCAAAATTGTAACAAGCTACAAACAAAACAGTATGGAAAAAATTCCTTGTTTCGGTATTTCTTTATTTATATATACTTTCGTTTGAATGCTTTGATCGACCAATCATTGTTATGTAACAGACTAATGCACACACAGATATACAGATATGTATGTGTGTGTGTGCGTGTGTGTGTGTGTTAATGTATTTGTATTTTAAAATAAAAGTATTATAAAAAATGTAAGAAATGTTGTGTTCTATGTTCTATTATTGTATAATAATGTACTGAGTCTTGTTGTAGTTTAGTGATCATGTAAAATGGTGACCAGTTCGCCTAAGGGAGATAATATAGCATAATCTTCTCGAAGACAACAAAACACAATTTACACAACAGTTCTCAATTGCGACGGTCGTATACTCCTTACCAAGGAAATTTTTTTTAATGTACGCACTTTTTACATCCTCGTTTAGTAAATAAGTAGGGCCTAGTACAATCGTGAACAAAAATCGAAATTGAGATCCCCTATGATTTTCTCTTTCTGTCCCTCTTTCTCTCTCTCTGTGTCCACCTTCCTGCAAATGTATTTCGGTAATTTCGGTAGACCCCTGTGTGTAGTGTGAGCATTTGATTAAAGTGTGTGTCTTTGTCTGTGTGTGTATGCGTGTACGCCTGTAAGTGTGGCATAAAATGACTAAATATAAAAATTAATTCTGCATTGTCAAGATATTTAGTCTAGTAGCTTATTGCTTAGTGCAATATGTCTTCACTTAGTTAAGCAAAACCATTATTTATTAGATCCAGTGAGCTTAGTTGTTTTGAATACAAACTAAACATGTTCACTGCGCCAAATTTTTAAAAAATGTCCTGGAAAGTTTTATAATTGTACATTTTGCCTGAAACACAGCTGAACTAGTTGTCGTTTATTGATAATCATTTAAGCACACTTAAAAATACTAAGTTAAATTTGTCTATATGTTCTGACAGAATGAGTGATGTTAACAAAAGTAATGCTTGCCTATTTGTTTTTATAATTTTTCGCTTCTAAATAAATTGTTCAAATTGTAAGTTGTTTAATACTAAGTCTGGGTCATATTATGTGTACTAGTTAATAATAAGGTTTTAAACAAACACACATGGATAAACAATAGACTTTCCAAATCGGTTTCCTTTTTTTTAAATGGTTTCAAGCTTATTTTTGTAATATGTTGGAATTTTTTTTTTTATTTTATGACTTACAACTATGATATAATCTACGAGCCGACCCGCGGCATATCATATGCCGCGATTTGTTTTAGTTGTTTTATTTTCTACTTTTCAGTAATTTATAATTTGTGAATTCGACAGTACCAATGCTGCCACTGAAAATATTTGCTTTAAAACACTATCAGTAGGTCGTTAAGAACGATACTACCCCCACCCTTCTTTCCCCCAACCCCTACCCTACCCCCCCCCCGTGAAAGCAGCCTCCTCTTAGTTACCTCCTCTAAGTTTAAAATCGTTTCAAACTAAATTATCTGCCCCTAATAGCCGTCACTAAACCCGGCTCTACGAAAATAAACATTTAGCGTGAACCACCGCTCACCAGACCATGTAGGGGTGGGGGTGGTAAGGAGCGCGCTTACAGCTTGTTTTCTAGCGTCTCCCAGAATTATATATATATAGATATTCGATTAAATTAAAAAAAAAGAAATACATTCATAGAAACATAGATAGAGAGAGAATGAATTGAGTGAAATAGAAAATAAAAACATTATTGTCTATTTGTTTCTATTATCCGCTATAACAAACTCGGAACGCTGGCTTTCACTGTCTTCTCGAATAATCAACGCGGAAGTTTAAACTACACGGCAGTCGGACGGTTTCCCGAAAAACACATCCCGAATACCGTTTACCCGAATGGACACTTGCTCGAATAGGGCAAATGCCCAAATGGACACTTCAGGCGTTTGTCACATTAGGGTAAGAATCCATTCTGGAAATCGACGTTAGGGCAAATGTCTTTCCGATATTTGTCATAGCCTCAAACTACACATATTAGGCACATTAATTTTGATTTCAGAAAGACATTTAGTTGGGGGGGGGGGGGGGGGAAACACGACTGGGAAAACTTTACTAGGATCTTGATTTACAAGATGAGACAAAATACTATTACTATAGCATGACATGGAAGTGTTGGTTTGAGCATTATAAGTGGTTCAAATAATTAATTGATTAACATCCTTCCCCTCATAACACATCTTTTCCCTTGCTATACATAATTATGTATTTAACACAACTATTCAAATAAAACTCTTCACATCATGAGTACATTCGAAATGATGAAAGAGAATACGTGTTAGCCATTATATATTAATAACGTTCACAGCCAATTTTGCTTTAAGGAAGCGTTTTTAATACCAAAATGGGACATATCGGGGAAAAGTAAATGAATCTTAACTATTGGTTTGTTATTTGAAATTATAACTGTTTACTCTTAACTTCATTTAAAAGGTTTGCTACTATATAGATATTTTTTTTCACGTATGTGATTAAAGTGAAGTGCGTTTTCACTGGTGGACATGACAATAAATTCTACACACACACACTCACACACACATAGATATACACTCACATAGAGATACACAAACAGCTGTGTGTATAAAAAAATGTTGAGTGATTCGTCACCTCTCATTTCTCGCTAAATATATATAACTCTCCGTGCATCAGTTTCACGTTTTTCAACTAATGTGTGTTCCTTGTGTTTGGAAATATGTTTTATTCGAATTAAGTGTTTCACACTATTTAAAAATATTCAACTATTCAACTTCGTGGTTTTAATATTATAAAAAAGTAAAAGATGTCTTGCGAATTGCAAACAAAATGTATTTCTATGACTTTTGGTACATTGCTTGTATTTATGTTGGTGATATCAGGTAATTTTTTAAAAATATAATATAATCATCTACATTTGCTTAGAAACTCGATTTTATTTAAATAATAAATAACTAAAGATATTTGCATGAATAATCTTCTGAAAAAGTATGTATAGTACTTTTTTTACATGTTATTTAATAAATATGTAATAATTTGGTTACGTTTGTTGTAGTCAAAGTTTATTCAGAAAATCTCTTATTTTAGCAGCTACAGCCGCTAAACAATGTTTAATTTATTTTACGTTTTATTTAGGTAGATTTGCTAGCGGAAATTATCATACGGTTAATTTAAAAGATTCAAAACCTAACTTTCTGTTGCAAGTCAACAACTCTATCAAAGAATGTGGGCAGGACATGAAAGCGGGAATGGTTGTTAACAAAATTGATATGTATTATGAGGTATAAACAATTGTTTTAAATATTATCAATTACACATGTTTATACACAAGTACTTTAATAGAAGCAAATTAAAACACTCACAAAAATTATTTTAACCATATCCAAGCGTATGAATTTTTTTGTCTGCTTGGTTTGTTTGTTTGTGTGTCCTTTATTCATTACTACACCTTTCATCTAATCACCATTACATTTTGGCAACTTCTTGAGTACACTCCAATGAAGGTTTCAGCTTTGGAAAGAAATTAAATACCGGAGCGACATTGCTCCGGTACTAGTGTGAGGTTGACACTCCGAATTTCCCAGCAGTCATGTGACCCTGAGTGCACGGGGTTTCATTCGTTTTATAGAGCGCTCTACACAAAGAACATTATGGGCTACTACAATCGATGGCTACATCAAAACAGGGGACGCAACTTGCGCCAACCCAGAAATATAACTAATGGCTTTCAATAGAAAAATCCCTTACACCTGGTAGGTTGCCGAGGATTATTCTATCTGACCATTGCGAAGTGTGCAACGTTCACTCAAGGTTTGCGTATGGCCAGTAGCGTGGCCTAAAACCTGTTCAATTTAAAACCTCTCATTTTGACTAGTAAACATATTTTTTTTCTTACAGAGTGGTTGTAACCCACACCATGTCGAAGCAAACTTATCAAACGATAGACGAGGACTTGTTTTGCACATTAAAGGCAAATGCGACTATCAGAGAAATTGCAGTATAACTAAATCAGATCTTCAGTTAACCTCCACATGTGACAACAGTAGTAGTCCATATTTGTATTATATCGTCTATACGTGCAAACGTGATGGTAAGTATCGGGCGGCGCTGCAAAAAAAATTCTTCATAAGTGAACAAATGGGCGAATTTTATATTTTGGCTCAACGCAAGTCTAATTTTATTTAGTTTTTGGTGACAGTGTCGCGTAGAAAATCTAATTCCCCACATTTGAACTCTTTGTTAGGCATAGTAATTAAATCTGCAATTCAAAAACTTACTTACATTGTTTTTTAAATCACTTACACTCTATGTTCAGTAAGGCTTAGATGGGATTACAAAATTTAAGGGTTTCTTTTTATCTATTGGAAATTTAAAAAAACATCCCTATGTTGGTTTAATATGTATAATGTTCCTATCTTCAACTACATTTTACTAAAATGGAATGTTTTAATGCAGACACGCAATATATCGGTATAAAATTTCAAATTTATTCAAACAACGGTTACAATTGTAGGCACAAAGGCCTTTTTTCACATTGGCCGTTTAAACAAATAAAGTAATTCAAAAACACATAGCAGTAACACATAGCACTGAAAACGTGGAATAAAGAAACAATGGTACATAGCTATCATACATAATGAGATAAAAAAGAGAATATAATAGATGAATGAGAAATGTTACAATGAGTCAGTTAGGTCATTAAATAATTTTAGTTTTAGTTTAGATTTGAATATATTTTCAGATCTAGATAGCATTATTTTATTAGGAAGATTGTTCCACAAATTAGAACCAGAGTAGGCGAAGCTATGTTTTTGGAAAAAGGTTGAATAAGGGAATGGTAAATTAAGACGACGATTTAATTTTATGTTAAAAGAAAATAGATCTGCTCTTATCCATAAACACTAATCTCACACGTTTTACATATTATATTTCGTAGTAAAACTGTTCCTGTTAGTAAACAAAACTATTTACGTACACGCAAGTTCAAAACAATACAATAATATAAACTGTACAATTGGAAATAAATTAAGATTTATCCTTAAATAATTTATGCTTGTTTAAATGTAATGTATGTAGTGTATTTATATTCGTTTTAAATTATTGGCGTTGAACCAAGCTTGAGATGCATAAGTAGTAAACCATTGTTTTACAGAAAATAATTAAAATTACAATAGATACAATAGTCGAAACTATTATAAAATTACTTTTATTTACTTGATGCAGAGGTTCATATATTTGCACGTTATACTTCACTACTTTTCAGTAAACTTTTAATCTATCCAGAGTATATATATATATATATATATATATATATATATATATATATATATATATATATATATATATATATATATATATATATATATATCTGTGTGTATATATGTATATATATTTGTAATGTATACATTTTTTTCTAAAAATAGATAGCACAACTACACATGTATCAACAGTTACAAATGTAACAACACCAAAAGGTAGCCAAATGAGTTTTGCCTATTATTGTACCTTTAATCTATTACAGTTACCACTTGATGAGATTTAAACAACAATTCACGCTTATATTAAATAAGACTTTACAATAAACAAGTATTAATGTAGAAATAGGTTTTTAATAAATTTTTGTTAACCAATACTGATTAATTATGTCTTCCTTTGTTTTATATGTATATAGCAAACCATTGTTTTACAGGAAATAAATAAAATTACAATAGATACAATATTTAATCGAAACTATTATAAAATTAATTTTATTTACTTGATGCAGATATTCATATACTTGTACGTTAGACTTCACTACTTTTCAGTAAACTTTTAATCTATCCTGAATATATATATATATATATATAAATATATATATATATATATATATATATATATATATATATATATATATATATATATATATATATATATCTGTGTGTATATATGTATATATATTTGTAATGTATACATTTTTTTCTAAAAATAGATAGCACAACTACACATGTATCAACAGTTACAAATGTAACAACACCAAAAGGTAGCCAAATGAGTTTTGCCTATTATTGTACCTTTAATCTATTACAGTTACAACTTGATGAGATTTAAACATCAATTCACGCTTATATTAAATAAGACTTTACAATAAACAAGTATTAATGTAGAAATAGGTTTAAATTTATGTTAACCAATACTGATGAATTCTGTCTTCTTTTGTTTTATATATATATATATATATATATATATATATATATATATATATATATATATATATATATATATATATATATATATTTGTAATGTATACTTTTTTTCTAAAAATAGACAGCACAACAACACATTTATCAACAGTTACAAATGTAACAACACCAAAAGGTAGCCAAATGAGTTTTGCCTATTATTGTATCTTTAATCTATTACATTTATCACTTGATGCGATTTAAACAACAATTACGCTTACATTAAATAAGACTTTACAATAAACAAGTACTAATGTACCAATTGTACTAAAGCGTATTGTACGATTGTGTAACATTAACACTAGAGTTCGTGGCGTATAAAAATCCGCTCTACCAACAAAGTACACTCTAAAAGTTGCCGAACCCCAACAGTTTCATATGCATAATGCGCATTCGTCATTCACACACACACACACACACTCACACACATATATATATATATATATATATACATATATATATATATATATATATATATATATATATATATATATATATATATATGTCGTAGGGGGGGGGCACCAAACTGAAAGTTCGCCTCGATTCTGGATTGACGGATACTAAGTGCTAAGATAGCAGCTATAGAACAAAAATCGCACCCACCCGAGGCGCCGCCCATAAGAAATTTTAATTATTTTGTTCACAGAAACATACTCGGGATTATTCTCATCAACTACCCAAATTTAACATGGCACTCGAATGAACCATATATTGAAAAAAATTGCACTCTCCCGGGGCGCCGCCTTTGCGAAATTTTAAAAAAAAAAGTTTTTTTTTTTTTTTTTTGCAGAACCCTTCCCTCGAGTGTTCTAGCCAACTCCCCAAAGTTCAGGGTGATCAAATGAACGGTGTCAAACCACAATCGACTTTTATATTTTATTCACAGTAGATAGAATAGAATCGAACCAAATCGCGCCCTGCCGGGGCGCCACCCTTGCGAATTTCAAATTATTTCTTCGCAGGAACCTCCCAAGCAGTATTCGTAACAACTTCCCAAAGTTTCAAAGCGATGTAATAAAAGGTTTAATATTGCATAAAAGACAAACAGACACACATAAATTGCATTTTATATATATATATATATATATATATATATATATATATATATATATATATATATATATATATATATATATATGCATACTTTCCCCTCCCCCATTTTTTCTCCAAGTGCCCCCCTCACCCTCGGAGAAAAAAGTCTGAAAGCAACACAATCTGCATGATTGAGGTTTAGCGGCCAAATGTAGGAAACGGGTCTAGAGTATAGAAGTAGGGTCTACCTTTAGTCAGTATGATCTACAAATGCGACCAGTGTTTCGTTCAGATTTTTATCTCCGGGCTGGGGAGGGGGGGGGCGGCTTAAACATTAGAAAGTTGTTGAGAATATTCCTGGTAAGGTTTCTGCGCTAAAAACATTTTAAAATTCGCATGGGTGGCGCACGGGGAGTGCGCGATTTGTTTTCTCTCTATATATTATGGTATATAAAAATAAAAGTCGATTGCGGTCTCGCAACGTTCATCCGATAGCCAACAAACTTCAGGGACTTAATTAGAACACTCCAGGAAAGGGTTCTGTAAAAAATTATTTTTATTTTCGCAAGGGCGGCGCCACAGTAGGGTGCGATTTTCTCTATATACGGTATATAAAAAATAAACGTCGATTGCGATTTCACGGCGTTATTCCGATCGCCATCACTCTTTGGGGAGTTGATTAGAACACTCCAGGGAAGGTTTCTGTAAAAAAAAAATCTTTTTTTCTTTTAAATTTCACAAGGGTGGCGCCACGGAATGGTGGGATTTTTCTCTATATACAGTATATAAAAATAAAAGACGATTGCGGTTCGACACAGTTTTGCCCCCCCCCCTCCTCCCTTGATATTTTGTGAGGTGGTAGGAGAACGCCTAGGGGTGTCACAAAAAACTCGCCATGTCCGGGAAAAATCTGGAAATGGGTCAAAACTGATCAGTCGTATTTTCCAATATAATCTTTGTATTTTATGTGAAAAACAGAGGGCAATTTCAACAATTAGATTTTAGGGTACTTACCCTGTATACATCAGGCTAATTTTTTTGCAGGCTAATAGATAAATGGTCTTGCCGTATGGAAAAACTGTCAGTTTGACTCAAAGCACTCGATGAGGGCTAAAAATTGACCGCGAGTAAAATTCTCTGTATATGAGCTATATTACGAAAAAAAACTTTTGCCCAATGACCCCCTTGATATTTTGTAAGGTGATAGGAGAACACATAGGGGTGTCATAAAAAAACGCGGCATATCTGGGAAAACTTCGTAAAGTGGTCAAAACTGACCAGTCGTATTTCCCTATATAATCTTCGCATTTTATGTGAAAAACAGAGGGCAATTTCAACAAAGATTTCAGGGTACTCACCCTCTGTACATCATGCTTATGTTTTGCAAGCACTTAGATAAATGGCTAGGCTGTATGGAAAAACTGCCGGTTCTGCTCACAGCCCTCGACGAGGCCTGAAAGATGACCGCGAGTAAAATTCTCCTAATTTGTGCTATATAACGAAAAAAAATTCTGTCGAACGACCCCCCTTGATATTTTGTGAGGTGGTAGGAGATCGCCTAGGGGTGTCATAAAAAACTTGGCATGTCTGGGAAAAATTGACCAGTCGTATTTCCCTATATAATCTTTGTATTTTATGGAAAAACAGAGGGTAATTTGAACACAAATGTTAGGGTACTTAACCTCTGTATATCTGGCTAATTTTTTGCATGCAGCTCTATAGATAACTAGGCGGTATAGAAAAAACTATTTATCAGACTCAAAGCCCTTGACGAGGGCTTAAAAAATGACCGCGACTGAAATTCTCCTTATATAAGATATATATAAATAAATTGACGAACGACCCCCATAATGTTTTGTCAGAGGGTAACAAAAAACTTTAATCCCGTCGGATAAAAACTTTTACGGTAGTTAGATTTGTCCAGAAGTGGTATTTTCTAATGTAAACAATTGTTTGTGAAAATGTAAACAAAGACTACGTCATTTGGTCTTTGTACAGGGGAAGTAGCTTATTAAAGTAATATTTTTAAAATAATTTTCATAATATTTTAAAGTATAACGTATATTAAAAAGTATACCATTCGTTTAAGTAAATATTTCGTTTTCAATTAAGTTATGATTTGTAGTGAAGTTGTGAAAATTAATCGCGAAACTAAATTTATTATAAATTTTTGTTTTATACTATTAAGGAAGCCCTTGCAGTTCTAATAATCTTACGGGTATTAAGTTTGCGAATACGCAACCCATGTTTGAATGGCATGAAATTGCTCAAGACTCTTTAAACTTAGGCCCTTAGCACTCCACATTATAGCCAATCACCAATTAATTAATTAATTGGAATTCTCAATTTCTTCATAATAAAAGTAATACAATTTTCAGTTTGATTTTTTGTTTGTTAAATTACTTAACACTGAATAAAATAAGTAAAATTTAGACATTGTTAATTAAATTATTTTCCAATTAAAGCAGACCCAAAAGTACAAGATGAAGGATACTTGACTGTTTTGATTTGCGCAGTGTCAGCTTGTGTTGTTATTTGTGTCATAATCATTACCGTTTTGGTAATCTGCCTTCGTCGACGGTGGGTGAATATTATTTGTAATCATTTTTTTTTATCAAAAAGTCATTTTATTTCATTTTTTGTTCGAAAAAACAGCGTTTTAGATTTTAGAAAAAAACGGTGTGTCAACAAGTTTCACTACTGTAATTTTCTTACATGATTAGCTTAAATAACAACTTTCATGTGATCAAATTTCTAACGCCAGGAGAGACAGACAACAACGAGCTATGTACCACAAAGACGACGAGTATGCAACCATAGATACTACATCTAAAAAGGTAATTCCTTTATATTTCATATTTTGTTCTACAAGTATTTGTTTTAACAAAAACTTTTTTATCAATTGTGTAAACTGCTTAACTAAATTTTCTTTCAATTGGTGTTGTTTTTTTACGAGTATGACATCAAGAAAGATAAGTACAACATAAATAATATGTCTCTGTCATTGATTTGAGAAGATGAACATTTTCCAAATAGAAAAACACACACCAAGATCAAACTCTGCTGTCAACATCTGCCTCTGTAAGAAAGCCCTCTGCATGTGATGGAGACAATAGTTCGAAAAATGATATGTCCCAGCCTGATGAACAGTACGCTGAACTGTCAAGCACGTCTAAAGGGTATGCCAGGGTGTCTTCAAAAAGCCATTCTAAAACAAAAGAAAAAACCAAACACAACCTGGACAAGTCTACAAGCGACGGTAGGGGGGAAGATCAAACGATATTATCGTCTGCTCCAAGCAATGAGACAGAACAAAAGGAAGAAGTTGCTGCACTTTATAGCACCGTTAAGTAAGTCCATGCCAGTTCTTATATCACTCTTATTACTTTCAAGAAAACCATTACAAAATTGTCTTGGTACGCGGCACGGTAATCTTAGCATTTGCATTATTAAAGAAAAATATACCATTTCGAGCCTGAAGGTGAATAGAGCGTTACTGTTTGTTGTTTTTACCTCGGGAATTTAACGGATGGTGTGGACATTTCAATGTCAAGCCGACTTTCCTTACCATAAAATCTGTTCTCTGTCAGAGCTGGGTGGACTTAATTAAGCTAAGGGACCAAACCCGAGGCTTTCGGTGACTAGAAAGCACGCATTAAAATAATGTCATGACACTTGAGCTTATCAGACAGTTCACTACGTCAGTGATAATGTTGATAAGCATTTGTTTCCTGTATCTCAACACACAGCTGTTGTAGGTCTATTTTTAAACCAGGAAGATTGTTTGGTGTTACATGTTGGAAATAACAAGCACAACAAGAACTGTTAATTAAATTGTTAGTATATATTTCTTCCTCTTTCTCTCTTATGGGGACAGAGTGACATAGTTAATGTTATTTCCGTTTACAAGTGTGCCTAGCTTTTATATTTCATTTCTGCATCTCATTGTTAATAAGGGATGTATATAAGTGAACGTAGGATTTACAAATATGTACCTTCTTCGTTTTAAAAAGTTTTACAAATACTGTTCATACAAAAAAAGAATGTTTTTTTTTTTTGTAGAAATAAACTGTATGTATATATAAACTAACCTTCCCGGCTAGGCACGGCATTGGCCTGTAAAAAAACTATCTGTAAAGGACCTGGATTTGTGTGTTTATTAAGCAGCATATACCCGGCATTGCCGGGATTTAGGAAAAATATTACTTTTAACCATTTAACCCTAACCACAACTAACCTAACCAAAACACAAAAACAAACGCAAACAAAAAGCAAACACAAACGAAACACAAACACAAACGCAAGCACAAACACGAACATAAACGTAAACACAAACACAAACACAAACAAAAACAAAAACAAAAACGCAAACACTAACACAATTACAATAGCAAACATAACAGCCAACACTAACAAACATAAACACAATCACAACGGAAACAGAAACGCAAACAGAAACGCAAATACAAACGCAAACCAAACGCAAACAATAGTGTAGAACATAAACACAAACGTAAATGCAAACATAAAAGCATAGTGCTCACAGTATAGCCCGGGGCAACAAATCGCACCCTGCTCGGTCACCGGCGGAACTGCCTGATAAATCTTAATAAATGACAAAATACCCCCATTTTATCCATATTCTATTAAACTTAATAAACCGAACGTAGTCGCCATCGCGCTCACGTGAAGGCCCCGGGCGCCAAATAGCACCCTGTAGGGACGCTGGATCACGCCATGGATTAGATTTAGTGAAGGACTATAGTAAACTTTCTTATTTATAGTCTATCCCAATGTTTAAAACTAACGTTGTCGCAATAGTACTCACGGGAAGGCCCGGGGCGCAAAGTAGAACCCTTTGGGGACGCCGGAGGACTCCCAGGATTCGATTTAGTGAACGACTATAGTTACCCTTTTTATTCACAGCTTATTGCACTCTTTAAAACGAAGTATGCACCGAGTGCTCACAGGATAGCCCGGGGCGCAAACTGCACCCTGTCGGGGCGCATTTTTTATTCGCTACTGCTTTTTGTGGTCTTTAAAGATTATTTCTAACATAATGATAATATATGGGTTTGATCACTTTATTGCTCACGCAAATCTTTACTGGTAATGTAATTTATTTTTAAAAATATTAAAAATACATGATATATATATATATATATATATATATATATATATATATATATATATATATATATATATATATATATATATATATATATACAGATATACATGTTGGTCTATATATTTAAAATCTTCTACACAAAAATAGCCGCTGAACACCAAAAATATAGTGCTAATAATGCAAACAACTTTTTGCCGATTGGCTGTGACTTTTTTTATTTCTGAAATGCATCGTTCTCTTATCAGAATCATTCAAATAATTTGAAACTATTAGTGAGTTATTGTTTCAATTCATCTGACATGTTTTCTGATCCTGTTTCAGTAAACTAAAGAAGAGATCCGTGACAGATGTTGACCCAGTTTCAGCTTCTGACCCAGCTTCTGACCCAGCTTCTGGCCCAGCCTCTGAGTTAAATGACGTGTATTCACACTTCACCCACTTAACACAGAGGAATACTGAGACCGAGAATGTTTACAACGGATAGATTTTATTTCCATATTTAAGTTTGCACGAATGCATAACTAATAAATAATATATATGTATGACTGTGCAAATCGAATTGAAGAAAAGTATTCATTTATTAATTACTATCGTCAACTAGCAAGGCCTATCTTTATTATTTTTTTTAAATATACATTCTTTTTTTCATTTTCTCGTATACAGAGTATAGAGAATGTATTACAAACATGCAAAAAGAATTGAAAACGATATTTTTCACAAATCGCGACGTTTTACACCTCCCCAAGTCGGAAAGGATTTGCATTTTTTTCAAAGTTTGTGTCCATCACAAACTGTTTCTGACCAGTAAGCTGACTACGAAATTTTATATGGCTCCTACACTTCGGTTTTGTACCAGTAGATTGATTAGATAGACTAGGTCGCGTAGTTTTTAGATCCAATGTCACTTAACTGTCACAGGGCGGCTACCGATTCTTTCAGTTAGGTTGACGGAATTTAAAAAATATGATTTTTGTCAAATTTGTAGTGCTTTATCAGTTTTTGTCTTAATTTCCTGAAAACGGAAGTGATACTTACTCTGTTCCTACTCTCTTAAAAACCTCTAGATTTTGAGAATCACAAGCTTTTTACAAGCATTTATTTAACTTTCTTTCTCGATCTTACTAGATTTTATTTAACTTGCTCCTTTTGTCTGTCTGTCGTACTTTTATTTGTTTTGTCGACTGTCATCATGGATCGAAACTGACGAGAGAAATTTCGACCACTTCTAAGCGTAAAATTTCTCTAAAACTTGGCACTTGGGTCAAGACCCGATGACAATGCAATTTGACAAACAATTTTTAAGGAATTGATTAACATTTCCATTATATATACGCTTTTCTTTTTAGTTATTTTAATAGTGGTTCATTTTTTTCTCCTTTTAAGTGCATTATTACAAAAATGCTTGTTATTAAAAAGTTTTTAATGCATTATATATATATATATATATATATATATATATATATATATATATATATATATATATATATATATATATATATATATATATATACTTATTTATTTATTTATTTATTTATATTCAAGTATATACATACACACACATATATATATATATATATATATATATATATATATATATATATATATATATATATATATATGATGCCATGATATTTTGAGTACTGTTTAAATTAGGTGGGACGCAATTTTATATACAGGTATAATATCTTATAGGCCTACTTAGATTACTTTAAATTTCTGAGTGAACTCCGACATATAAAATTGTTACTTTACTCTATTTCTTATTTCTAAAATACACATAACTTGAGTTATTAGGTTGACTAAATTTCATATATAACTATTAGTTTCTGTACGTAGATTTTTATAAACTTTTGAGAGATTTCTGGTTACCAGAAAAGGTATTTTACCCAATCTCCGATTTTTCACAAAACACGAAATTTATTGTGATTACATGATTTTATTTATTTAACTTGAATCCTCTATTGTCCGTTATTAAGGTCAGAAATTTGCGAGCGAAATTCCGACAACTTCTACATGACCAATTTCTGTCAAATTTTTTACATAGGGCAAGACTCAATACAATGTTGCTGAACTTTTTTTTAAAATGATTAACGTTTTCTTTATGAAGCAGTAATTTTCCAAACACATAACATCCCAACCTATATTATGATCAAACAAATATACAAAAAAGTTCAGGGAGGGGCTCAGTTCCACTTTATTTTATCTGTGTTTGATTTATAATATATGTTATAGGCATATAAATATAATAGATAAATGTTATTGGCCTATAATATATATATGTATATATATATATATATATATATATATATATATATATATATATATTGTAGTAAACCTTTAGAAATCTTATTAAAATTTAACACAAAAATGATGTTTACTTTTGACGTGCTTATTATTTGCTGTAGACGTAGGCCTATGTGATTATCTATTTCTATTTTTATAGATCCATTCAATGCTCAATGCTCTATACTCTATACATGAAGAGTATTGATTTCTTAAAGAAGCGTGAACATTAGGAGTTAAAATTGCAATAAAAATGGTGATGATTAGTTAATAAACTTAATGGGAAAAAAAATGGGGAAAATCATCATATTTTCACAAGAAACATCGGGGAAAAAATTGTTAAAATTAACATGAAAATTACGCTTATTGTCACCATACGCTAAATAACAGGAAATTCAGTTGACGGAAGCATGGTAAGTGAAATATAATTGACTTTTTATCAAGCTCCACTTACCTCTACTGTCACGCGATCACTAGCTTCCACCCACTTCTAGCTAAAGCTGTCTCTACTGGTAATACACGATAAACAAAGCTCCTTGTGCCTTGTTAGATAATGGAATTTTGCGCCTGGAGATTAAGTTATTTTCCTCCAGTGCTGGCTCTGCTGTGGTTGATCATGCTAATTTTAGAATAGCAATCTGTGCCAAAGTTATTGAGGATCAGTTTTGTTAGTACAAGTTGTGCAGATCTTTTCCTTCTTCTCCCCTCAGAGATTTCCTCTATTAGTTTTCCATCGGCGATAAGATACCGGTTCGCACGGTCTCCACAATATTCTCACTTGGGCCATCTGCTCCCACATGCTCTCTTTTAGGCCATCTGCTCCCTCATATTCTCTTTTAGGCCATCAGCTCTCACGTGTTCTCTTTTAGGCCATCTGCTCCCTCATATTCTCTTTTAGGCCATCTGCTCCCTCATATTCTCTTTTAGGCCATCTGCTCCCTCATATTCTCTTTTAGGCCATCAGCTCTCACGTGTTCTCTTTTAGGCCATCTGCTCCCTCATATTCTCTTTTAGGCCATCTGCTCCCTCATATTCTCTTTTAGGCCATCAGCTCTCACGTGTTCTCTTTTAGGCCATCTGCTCCCTCATATTCTCTTTTAGGCCATCAGCTCTCACGTGTTCTCTTTTAGGCCATCTGCTCCCTCATATTCTCTTTTAGGCCATCTGCTCCCTCATATTCTCTTTTAGGCCATCAGCTCTCACGTGTTCTCTTTTAGGCCATCTGCTCCCTCATATTCTCTTTTAGGCCATCAGCTCTCACGTGTTCTCTTTTAGGCCATCTGCTCCCACCTGTTCTCTTTTAGGCCATCTGCTCCCACATATTCTCTTTTAGGCCATCAGCTCTCACGTGTTCTCTTTTAGGCCATCTGCTCCCACCTGTTCTCTTTTAGGCCATCTGCTCTCACATATTCTCTTTTAGGCCATCAGCTCTCACGTGTTCTCTTTTAGGCCATCTGCTCCCACCTGTTCTCTTTTAGGCCATCTGCTCCCACATATTCTCTTTTAGGCCATCAGCTCTCACGTGTTCTCTTTAGGTTTCATTGTGAGTAACGTATTGCGTGGCTTGTGTTTGTATAACATTCTATATGCAATGCGACATGTAGCAAAATGGCAGTCAGACCAAGAGGCTCCCAAAGAATAAAATTCACACCCTTTTTTCATTCAAAATATGAGCTACCGCAGTATGTTAGCCAGAGGCGTATCCAGGTTTTCGTTGAAGGGGGAGCTAAAAGAGCAAAAAAGGCGCCGAATTTTTAACACGTTCTATATACGTGTATATATATATATACATACATATATATATATATATATATATATATATATATATATATATATATATATATATATATATATATAATTACTAGCTGTATGTCATTACTTCGCCATGATGTAAAATAAATTGAAAGTAGCACTCTGAAGAAATAAGAAAAAACACACAATGTAGGCCGACAAAACAAAAATTGTATCAATCTAAAAAAAAAAAATATACACACACTACAACCAAAAACAACGAACGTAGCACAATCTGTTTTGTAATTCTTGTAAAAAAATAATTTCTCACATAATAATTCCTGGGAAATTATTTAAGACTAGTGAAACAGGGGAAATCATCACTCTCTTAATATAAATATGTATATATCTACACATTTAATTATAAATGTCAATACAAATAAATAATTACTTTAGAATATAATGAAATTATTTAACACAATTCGTGTTTACAAAATGTTTTTGTCTATAATCAGAATTTAATATATCGTCATCATAAATGCTAAAGTATTACAGCATAATGAAAGTTTTTAAAAGCAGAGTTGGTATAAAACCACGCTTTTCGTAATAAAAAAGTAACGTTCGGAATAACAGCCTGCATTAACTAAACAACGGTCTTTTAGTTCAGATCATATATTTTTAATTAACTACCGATCCTTTGTGTTCTTTAAAGATCATTTTTTTAACATAGTGATAGGTATGGGTTAGATCACTGTATTGATCACACACCTTTATACTGGTAATTGCAAAAACAATATTCACAGAGTTTTACGTTTAAAAAGCTAATTTTCTGGCGGCATGGTATTTTGGTACATCATTACGCGTTTTTCTACATGTACTTAACAGATCAGTTCGGGGTGGGTTGGGTAGTGGGGGGGGGGGGGTTCAACTTCATTCACCACTGTCCGGTCTCTTTAGGTCAATTATCCAACCCAGTGTATACCTAGGTGTGACATTAATGTCGCTCTACACAACTGTGGTGGTGAGGTGGGGTGGGGGGGGGGAGATAACCTACTCAAAGTGAACATACCGCCAGTTTTTAACAAATAACATTGTTTAAAACTTTGAGTTTAAAAAGTTTCCAAAAAGGCGCCACTTTGCTGAAAATTGCCGCCACTGTGCCGCTCCTCCTGCTCCCCCCCCCCCCCCCCTGCGTACGCTACTGATGTTAGCCTAATCTATAAACAAAATCAAAGACAGTCGGCGTCATCATCCAGAGTCAACAAGACGGAACGTTCAAAAGACTTCTGCCAAGAGGGTCTGTCGATAACTTAGTTATTAGGAACATTTAACGATGAGAGGTGCCATATATATGCAACTTTTTACACTAACAAACCTGCTGTCATGACGGAAAGTCCAGACCAATTATGTGACAATATCAATGCCAACAGATTATATGTACTAAGTTAAAGCCCATTCTTGTGTATCATGTGACAACGTTGTCCATGCAGTGGCGGAACTAGAAAAAATGGGCCACCCCGCAAAAAAAATTTTTGGGCCCCCCATATATGTATGTATGTGTGTATATATATATATATATATATATATATATATATATATATATATATATATATATATATATATATATATATATATATATATATATATATATATATATATATATAAACACACCATACGAACATAGGATACTCATTTCTGGCCTGATCGGGTTTTGAAAAAAATAATTCAATTAAATCTAATCACAACAACATGTCATATATATATATATATATATATATATATATATATATATATATATATATATATATATATATATATATATATATATATATATATATATATAACAAGGTTCGCTCTCAATTTTAAAAAAATTCCATCTGGTACACGAATAAATCAGAGGTTTTCCAACACACGAGCTGGCCCCTTTCTAAATCTAGTCCAACACACTAAACTGAGGCTTTCATCAAAACGTTACTAACCGTGTGCCCTGTTTTCCAGAAGTTGAATTAAATGTTAACAATGTCGGCAGTTCATTTCTTGGATCTTAGGGCGCGGGTTTGTCCACACTACCAACTAGACACGCCAAGGCATGCTGTAAATCCCTCGGCGACGGCCCAGGTGTCAGGGGAGTCACGGGGCTCTTGGAGCTACCGGTTACATTACTGCACGCGTGATGGGTGTGACACATTGTTTCTTCCGGCAGAGCTCCCCCCCCCCCCTACCCTCCCCCGAAAACAGTCTACCCTGGAAGAAACATTGGTGCGACACCTAATTGGATAACCTTCTGATTTAGGGGAGGGGGGATTAACAAAAAGCCTGACCCTCACACACCCCCACCTCAATGACTATTAATAATGTTCAATTAATTCTAAACGTTCGAATTAATTTCTAAATAATTATATAAAAAA